CAACGCGTGTCAGACACACTTTTGCACCGCGCAGCCAGAGCAGCAAAGCTGCTTCAGCCGCGCGTCAGAACTAACTGGTACAAGCAGCAAAAATGAAGCAGCAGACGCGATTTTGCTGCTTTTGCTGCGTCCGGTGTGAAAGCAGCACTGCACAAAGATCGCCACTGTGCTAGCAACGAGCATGCTTTTAACTGGGGGGTGTAGCAGTTCTCGCCGTAAAGCAAGACTGACTCTCGCGAGACTTCTGAGCCTGTGGGTGCGGGTCGGTGCTCCTGCAATTGCAAGTGCGGTATTTCCCCCACAGACCACCAGGGCGGCCGAGAATACCTTTGTTCAACCTGAAATGACTCATTTAATCATCCAAAACGATATGGAACACATTAATTAACTGAAAAATGTTGCATAGTGTGCCTTTAATCAAGGTCACTGGGTGCGTGGGGCTGCGCCCTAGCGCCCTCTTTTGGCCAGACGCCACTGCATGTAATATTCAGACTGTCATATACTGTTCTGTGAACACGCACCCTACAGGCTGTGTTAGAACAATAAATGAAAGTGTGTATCGAGTTCAAATCATGGTCAAACAGATAACTTTGCACATGTATGAAATAATTTCACCATGACTTCTATTTACATAATATGAGTTTATTAGCAAAAGTTTAGCTTCAAGTCAAACATATTTCAGTTTAAAGTCTTCACTAAATATATAGCTATATGTATACTATAATGTGAACACAAAAGGAAAACATAAAAATCAAAAAGACTAGGTTTAAATCCAGAGCCGAAAAAGTAGCATTTGATTCCATTTCTGGAACAAGAAAGGATTTTAATGCATATATTTTCTCAGGAAATACATTATTAACCGTTAACACACTGAAGTTACCATGCTTACTATTTTATGGGAGCGGAAACATAATTATGGTCTTTTTTACAAAATAAAATCAAAGGCAACCCAGATGTATATTTGTATGAGCATTCGTGATGGTGCTTCCGAGACAGAAGTGACACCTCTTGTTTAAAACAGGAAGTGACTTGTTTCATTGGTGGATGTCCTCTTTATGTTCTCCTTCATACAGGTTTCAAGCAGTGTCTCATAACACAAAACAAGTTGATGCTTAATCCCGACCTACACTGTGGCTGTTATTGATTTATCTTCAGCTCACTCTAAGTTACACATCTGACTTGTGTCAAACTGGATTTGAATCTTTGGGAACCTACAAACAGTTGGGTTAAACTGGACCTTTTCACAACTTCACCCCTAGAATATCTGAAAAGCTAACTCTCCAATACACAACAACCTTTTCCACGCTGTATTTTTGTTTGCTTTCTCAGCGACTGCAGTTCAGGAAAACAGTATGGTAACTTAATGACATCAGTGCAGCCAGTTCCAATGTAAACATAGTCCCAGGTTTCTGTAGTCAATGACACTTGGTCAGACACTTGGTCTGCAGATATTCAAAACTTTAAAAAAACAGATAATACTGTCTAATGGCACTTTAGAAATACTATAAACCTTAACTACTGCTTTGCCCCCAACAGGAAGTGAGTCCAGTTTCCATCATGAGCCTTGAATTTGGGCAAAGTTTTTTGTTATCTTTTTTTTTTTCAGCTTTTCTTGTCATTACTGTCACAAGTACAGAGCAACAAAATCCTCTCTGCATTTGACCCATCGCCTGTGGGAGCAGTGGGCTACTGTTGTGCTGTGCCCAGGGAGCAGTGTGGGGTTATGGGTCTTTGCTTAGGGACCCAGAGTGGCAGTCTGTGCTCAGAACCTCAGGATTCCAAGCTATATGTCCTAACCACTAGGCCAGCACTCCCCAAAGTTAATATCAAGGCTTGCTTTCATGATCATCCGGTAGCGATGTTTGAGAACAACAGCTGGCTCCCCTGAAATAACTTTATAGGTGTCTGACACAAATAAGTAGAGAAGATTTAGGCTATTTAGATATTAATCATTTGTTAACATAATAATTGATATCTTAAGATTAAAAGCAGATTTTGCACATACAGACCTTGTTACATGTTCCACTCTTTCTCCCCATTCAGCCATTTGATAATAACACAAAAAGGTTAATTTAATTTCCCATTAACATAGGAGCCCATCTTGACAGAAGAAACAGACATAGAAAATTCTGCAAGTTGATAAAAGAAGAACAACTGAAATATTACATGGTGATAAGTATTCAGGCCTTTTGCAGTGATAATCATATTTCACTCACATGCTGTCCATTTCTTTTGGTCCTCTTTGAGATGTTTCTACTCCTTTAATGAAGTCCAGCTGAGTTTAATTAAACTGATTGGGCTTGATAAGGGAAGGCACACAGCTGTCGATATAATAGCCAAGGTTGCAAAGGACATTTCTGCAGCACTCATTCCTAACAGATCAGTGGCATCCATAAACCGGAAATGGAAGAAGTTTTGGACGACTCAAAGTCTAGACCTGGCCGTTCAGCCAAACTGAGCGCTCAAGAGAGAACAGCCTTGGTGAAGGAGGCAAAGGAGAAACCAAGAATCACTGTGGCTAAGCTCCAGAGATAGAGACCTCTGAGAAAGTCAACTATCACAGCTGCTCTTCACCAGTCTGGCCGACCGGAAACCTCTCCTTAGTGCAAGACATATGAAAGCCCACATAGAGTTTGCCAAAAACACATGAAGGACCCCCAGGCTATGTATAACAGGGGTAAGCAATTAAGAATCATCGGGGTCCGAGTAAAGAAAATTATCCACGATTAAAGGTCTGGAGACATTTTTAATCATAATCTGAAATTGAAATAAAATGAGGTGTTTATGCATCCATGTAATACATTGACTTTTTAAATAAAAATAAAAATAAAAATAAAAAAGATTTTTCTCCAAATTTTTCCATTTTAAAATCTAAAGTGTTTTTTGAAGTAGAGAACAGCAATCTTTCAGTTTGGTATATAGACAATTTTTTCTTCCTTTTTTATGGCTTAATGTTCGCAGTGGGCTTTATGCTGCCCAACAAGGCTTTAAACCTGGGTTTGATTGACAACAAAGCCATTCTCAATCAGATATCAAGGTGCTCTTTCATGAGCCTGAATCAATGGTTATTTTTGATTTTGTTCATGGTGGAGAACATACGCAGGGTCTCTTTGAGCACGCCATTTCACTTTTCTTTCACCAGATCACTGGTTCTTCCAGCAGTCCACACTTTCTCTGCTCTCTTTTTCTCATCATCCTCTTCTTCTTCCCATCACCCGGCTTGCCACATGTTTTCCTGCTGTGTCTAAAAGTAGCAGCAGCAACCCAGACTGACAGCAGCTCATTAGCTAAACTGTATCACGTGTAGCCTGGTCCCGGACGTTGTTGGAGGGCTTTACCATATTAACAGGAGAAGCGGAGCAAGTGAATTTAGACAATGTTGTCGGATAACATGCAGTGTTTTGCATCAAGTGGGGTCTGGATTAGTCAGCAGGTGGATCCGGATCCGGACCCAGGTCCGCTAATCCGTGACCTGTGATGTAAAAGTTGGTCTAATGAGACCAACTTATTGAACTTTTTGTTATTGATTCTAAGTGCACTGATCACGGTGGTGGCAGCATCATGCAATGGGTGTGTTTTTCAGCTGCAGAGACAGGGCTGAAGTTAAGATGAATGCAGCCAACCACAGATGTCCTGCAAGAAAACCTCTTCTGGAGCGCACTGGACCTCAGGCTGGGCCAAAGATTTGCCTACCAACGAGACAAAGATCCTAAGCACACAGCTAAAAACAGCAACTCTGAGACTATTGTTGACTGGCCCAGCCAGAGCCCTGACCTAAAACCAAATAAGCGTCTGGAGATACTAGATGGCATCTGGAGATACCTGACTCTTGAGATACCTGGATGGTCAACATTGGTGGCTGTCCACCATTGTTCATCATCCCACATAACATAACTGAAGAGGATCTGCAAGGAAGAATTGCAGAGGATCCTCATATTCAGGTGTGGGAAACTTGTTGAATCATTCCCTGTACTAGTTATAAGGTTTTTTTTTCTGAATACTTTGATAATGTGATATTTCTATTTTTCTCTTTTAATGAATTTGCAAAATTTTCTACATTTCAGTTTTTTTCTGTCAAGATGATCCAGAGATGACATGTCTGAGTTTCCTGAGAAATAAAATGAACTTTTTTTTCTTAAAAAAATGGCTGCATTGAAAACAAATAGCAACATTTGAAGGGGTCTTAATACTTCCCTTACATACTGTATGCACCTTTCTTGATCTCCATTTGCCAAGCTTGGTTTTGTTTAGTTTTTTTCTTCTGGGAGACACCTGATAGGCAGCATGTTAGCTGCTGGGTCCTGTGGGCCCTTTGTGTTCCATTGTAGGTCACAATGGAACTTAACACTTGACAGAGCCAGGCCTTGTTGTCAGGAGCTGAACTTGATCCTGTCAAGTTGTTCTCATTGAAGAGCTATAAAGAAAAGGCTTTGACCTCACAGCTTTAAAAGCTCTATGTACCACAAAATACTTATATGCTTTTCAGGACTTTATCAGTGTATTATATGGATTGGATAAGATTGTGTGTGAAATAACCAAGAGCCAGGTTTGACAGTTGGAGTCCACCAAAATATTTCATGTAGGTATGAACGATCTGCCGCCATCTCACTTAACCTGGTAACAATTCAGAGATGAACTGTCCTGCTGCCGACACACAGCATCATTCAAAGCGTTTCCCACTTTAACCCCCGGCATCCCAGCCTGAAAACCTGCAAACCACAGAAAAGGGGGCCTCACGTTACCAAAGGGCCAGGTAACTTCAGATGGATAATCCTACGACCTGGTAAACCGGTCTTCAACCTGGAGCCGTGTGTTTGTGTGTTGATTTGGTGTGCATATGTGTGTGTGATTCCCCTGGGTAAATTATTCTGTTAAACATTACCACCACCACCACCTGTGAGCTCAGCTATCTAAAATGAAAACAAACTGCACGTGTTGACAGTTTTACAATTCTGAATAGCTTTGTTGTCTGCAAATATCTAGTTTGTTAAAAATGTCAGTCTTTTTTAATGATTTTATTGGAAGTTTTTCTCACTTCTGTGGAGCAGATTAATAGTTTGTTAGCTCACACCAAGGTGGTTGTCTTTTATAAAGAAAATGTTGCTTTCTCCTCAGAAAGCCAGTCAGCAACAGCTGGTTTAACCCCAGTTCAGAGAGGAAGATTCCCAGAGTGTGTTTTTAGCCGTCATCTGAACCATCTTCTTTACTTCTTTACTTCACCACCATGAAGTACTGTGAGCAGCCTTTACACCGGAAAACTGCACAGCTTCTCTCCCACGTTGAGCTGGTGACTCTGGAATGTGCGTTGGGCGAGATTTGTCTTTTAATGTGAGGAGTGTGAAAAAACAACAGGGCTGTAAACACCAAGGGTATGGTCCCAGACAGGGTTCCTTGATCCAGATGTGGAGCAGGCACAAAGCTGTCAGTTCAGCCCAGAGCTTTAAGCCCCAAAGCGGTGCCAATGCCGTCCCCGCCGAGGTTCTTCCATCGCTGCAGCCTTAGGGAAGTCTGACGTCTGTAGCCTACCTGTCATGGAGTAAAATCAGACAGATGTGGAGGTTTTACCAAATTCAAAGCCCTGCAGAGTTGAGACAAATAACACAAGTTAATCAGCTTCCCCCACATGACAACAGGCTCAGCACGATGGACTAAAGTTTATGGTTGCATTAAACGGATTCCAGATTTTTCTTTTCTTTTTTCCTTTAGTCCTCCATTAAACCATTTAGGAAAGAGCTGTGAGCGTTGGCGCGCGTTTCTGGCGTCACACACTGCCTGGCAGCGATTAGGCAAACTCAAAGGTCGGACTGAAATAAAACATTTTAGAAAAGAGTCCTGTGATTCGAAATTTTAATGTTCATGCAGTAGCTTTATCTCTCTCTAAAAATATATATATATAAAATTAAATCAGATATATCGCTGTTATTAGTACAGAATAATTTCTATGCTCGCCTCTAAAGCTTTATCCATAACTTGAATTTTTCTCCTTTTTATCTAATATTTTTGTTGTCTTTTCATTGAAAGGATGATTTGAGTCGAATATCATAAGCTCTTATACTGATTCAGGTATTTATATTTTAATTGTCAGTTGCATTATCTTTTTTGTTGTTCCTGAATTAATATCTGATTTTTCTTGATTTCTCTCTTCTTCTTATATGCAGATAGAAATTAGAAGTTAGAATCTAATTACAATAATTATCAGTAGTCAAAATGAAATTATTAGGATGAATATTTTCCAGCAAAATACAGAAAATTAAAGGGGAAATGAAAGTAGACTTAATAGAAAAGGTATTCTATCTCAATTTCAAATGAAGCACAAAGTTAATTAAATTAAATAAACAAAATTTCATATCTTTAAGCCACAGAAAATTGTAAATATGTATTTCTATTCTGAGAATTAAAACATACTTTTATTCTTTTGGTGTAATAAATCCTTAGATGAAACAGAATTCAAGTAATTAAAATGATTTTATTTTAGAGCACATTTTGACTTAAATCACACCAGCAGAAAATCATTAACTTTTTTATCTAAAAGAATATTAAAAATTCTTCAGATGTAACCCTGTCAAACAGCATAAAACAAGATGACAGAAAGAAATGATATGATCATAAATGCTAATAAAAGCATGTATTTCTGTTTGAACACAGACATGTCAGCAGTAATCTGCTGGAGGGTGGGTTTTATTCATGAGAATCTGGATTGTGCTGAACTCTCTGAGCCCCCGACCCGCTAACAGAAAGAATTCAAGAGAAAAATGGCTGCACTTGAGGAATGAGACTGGGGCTGATGGAAGTATGAATGTTCCTGTGTGAAGACGCCCAGAGGAAAGATTAGGGCCGTTCATCTTCTGCCCTTGCTGTTGCTCCTCCTCTGCTCCCTTTACTCCTTTGCTTTTTTTCCCCTGCGGCAGAAAACAGTCATAGAAAAATGTCAGCCTTTCTCTTTGCTTTGGCTTTGTTGATCCATAAAGGACTGACAGCCGCCTTGTTTAGTGTGTTTCACTGCCAGTCAAAGTTTTCTATTCTTTCACACACAACAAAATAAAGGAGGAGAGCAGAAAGCATATCTACACTCATTCAAATTGGACTTCACCGTAAACAGAATTTGGTTCAAGAATATGGTTACCTTCCTGTTTCTAATAGCTGGTTTTGCTTCTATACATCTTAAAGCTGATGTCAAAAAAAAAAGAAAAGACGTGGGTCAACATAGTAGCCTGAGTTTGGCCCCAGTAACAGAGTTACTTGTAGAACATGACGTACCAGCGAAGAAGATCACAGCTGCGGCAGTTGCATGGGAATGTGCTTTTAGTTTGTACACAAAGAATGCTGTCACTCTGCATCAAAGCAGCTTGACAAACGTATTCAAGGGGTGTGTATGAGTGCACACCTCTATCAAAAAAAGCAGCTGCATGAACCATGCCAACTTTGCAGCCAACAGACGCCAGAGAGTCTGACCTGCATTCAGGGCTGTGACTGTTACACACTTCACGCCCTTTTAGGGTGTGTTGGCAGGGCGACGACCAGGGCCAGGTCCAGAACGGCCCTGTATCATGACTGCAGGGTTAATCTTTGTTCTCCACCCGTAATGCTGACATACTTACAAGCTTTAAAAAAAAAAAAAAAAAACTCCTCACCTTAGTCTCTCTGTCCAGACACCTCCTATGAACTCTGTGTGAATCTCACAGTCTGGTTTGTTTTCTGTGCTTTTCAGCTGAAGAGGATGCCTGAGGACAGCCGTCCCAGACTTCCAGGTCTTCAAAGAGTTCTATTTTGCTTTTGTTTAGACAATTCATGTATTTAAAATGGAATTTCTACTCAGTTTTTTCCTGAACTAAACAAAGCAGAGAGACTAGTCTGTACCTGTGTATTTCCACCATTCCCACAGGCACAGGGATGTGTTGAATCTTCAAGGCCTGGTGGATTAGGTCATACATTTGTCCCCCACAGTCGCTTCTCCTCATTGTTTTATTTTGCCAAAATGTTCACAGGGATAATAATTTGTGGTTTTGTTCCAGCCTAAAAGCTTGGAAACTGATCTAACCACCCCCTACCATCCTTTAATACCCGCAGATTCTCAGTAGCAGCACACAGGGAATGACATGACCAAAATGATGGGGTTGGACAGCGGCTCAGCACTGCTGCTCAACCCACCAAAGCTCTGCTTGTAATTTCCCTCCAGCACATATTGAAGGCTGTGTGATTTATTTCAGAGTAGATGAGCTATCTGAATGAGCAGGGACACAATGTGAGAGTGCATCCTGTCACTGTGTGGAAACTTTTCTCCATCTGTGGATTCATTAGGCCTTGTGGAGAGAGTAAATGCATGCTGCAGATTCTTTGAGGCTGCAGTTCCCCCCCTTATACGCGCTATTGTTGGACGTTCAGAGTCTGAAATCACAATTTGTTATCTGTTCTCAATTTTTGCTTAAATTCTAAATTCTAATTTTATATTGAAATAATAAATGACAATTGATGTATTATTTTCTTTTTTGTAAACCAATTTCTATATTTATTTTTGGATGGAAGTTAAACACATTTTAATAACCTCCTCAGCAGCGTTATGCCTAAATTCTTCTGATGATAAAATACTTAATTATACATTTAAACAGGATGCCCCCTAACTTTGGCAATAATAGTAAAGAAATGGAATAAACCAATGTTGCAACATGCGCAGATAAATGTTGCCAGATTTACTGAAGAATAATAGCAGTGTGTAATGATATGTAGATCCTAAATCTTTTTCATCTAGAAATGTAATTTATTTCATTAGAGTCTAAAACTTACTTTATTTGCACGTGATAAAATATTATACTGCTTTAGAAAGTTGGATGGCAGTGGAAAGGTATATTATAGTTTAAAATAAAGAAATTAAAAACTAATAATTGTAAGAACAAAAAACTTAGGAGGATGTCAGACGAACATGCAGTAAAACATAATAGTTCACTGCATTCCTGATGAACGGAAGTTATACAGGAAATACTCTGAAACAGAAAATAATATAACTGTTTATTATAAAGATCAAAAAATTAAATTACATTATTTAAATTGTTATGATACAACACATCATATATTCATACACATTCCACAATTTACTAGAGCTTAATGTTGCACTGGTAATGAAAAAGGCATAAAGTTATATTCCTCTAAGCTGTGTTTAAAAGAAGCAAAATGAGAACTGAAATGACTTTTTTAAAGAAAAAAAGAAATGTTTATCACAAAGATTTAAATCGATTTTGGAAGTAAATTAGTTAAAAAAAATTAACAAAGAAGGACAAGCATGTTCACAATGTAAATTAGATTTTTTTTTAAAACAAAGGGACACAAATTTAACATATTGAGGCTATTTTTATTGTCTAGCAGCTATATTTGACCTAATGGAGTGTTCTTCAACATGTCCTGAAGTTTATGCAAAAATAAAATAAAGAAGTAATAAGGATTGATTCTTTGACACTTTTCAGTCTATCATGAACTTGCTTTTTTGCTTTCATTTTATCTAATTACACCTGTTAACATTAAATAGTGTATCATATGACTTTGAACCACAACATCAAATGAAGCAATGCTTTTATGTTGCATGAATAGTTATTTATTATGTAATAATGTCTAAACCTGTTTTAATTTTTATTCAAACAAGAGGTTTTAATAGAAAAACGTGTTATTTTGTTTCCCGCCAGCATATAGGGACTTTTATATTTTCTATGCTTTTTTAATTTATAAAAAAAACGGTAATATTTTATCAGTCAATCCGCTCGGAGCGGTGTGCTGTTCCGTCCATTCGTTAATCAATGGGAGGAGGCGCTCTCTCCCATATTAATGAAGTTAATGGTGCTGCTCCGGTGACAGCCTGCTGCTGCAGACCAATCAGAGAGCTCTATGGTGGAGAGCTGCCTGTTAGTCGCGCTGCACGCAGGATCTGTTTGAAGAACCATGTCAGCTCCTCTTCTGATCTAAACATCTTTCGCTTTTGCTTCCTTTTTACCTCCAGAAACACCTGCCAAAAACATGCCCGCTGTGACTTTGTCCTGCGTGGACGTTTACCTTTCAAACAGCGCGTTGGATTTAAGGGTGGAACTGCTCCAGATCTCCTTTGCTTTCTGACAGAACCTGATGAAATCCTCCTGAGAGCGGCGGCTTTATGAACTTGCGCATTAACTAAATGATGTCTGTGGGTTTTATGCCCGACAGTTTGAACGGCTCCGATCCCTCCAAGTCGGCCTTCCTGGAGTTCGGCCACGGACACCCGGCGCACCAGCAGCACTCCGCGGGACTCTCACATATTTACCCCGTGCATGGCCTCCACGTTTCCGGACATTCTCAGCACGAAGCCCCCTTTCCTGGCAATGCGTCTTACGGCCCCCCGCTGGGATACTCGTACCCGGGTGCGATGAACGCGCATCCATCATCCGCCTACATGTCCCCCTACCAGCACAGCAGCGGCGGCCTGAGCCACAGCAGATTAGAGAGGACAGGTATGTGGAACAAGCAAAACAAACTACAACAACAAAACAACACATTGGACTAAAGCGTAAATACGCGTAAGGGGCGCATTTTGAAAAATGTATATGGGGGCGTCTGTTATTGTCATTATTATGAAATAAAAATTCTCCTTTTGCATTATCCAGTGTTTTTATTAACATCGCGGTAAATGATTGTTTTTACTCGCATGGTCTAAGAAACTGTTGCTTAAATCTTTTAATCACAGGTTTTAGATGCTGTATCCGTGCGCATAATCCTGCTTCTATAAAGATGGACCACGTAACTTAAACTTTATTGTCATTTTGGACACAGACTGTATACAAAACGAAATTTCGATGCATACAGCTTTGGACGGTGAATGAGCAGCTGTCATTTTGTTTTTCTTTTTGTTTTTTTATTATTTGTTTGTTTTTTGTTCTGGGGTTGTTTTGTTTTGTATTTTTTTGTATTCTTTTGTTTTGTTTGTTTGTTTTTTTGTTGGGGCTGTTTGATTAAAAGAACTGCACAGTCAAATGTGACCTGTTCAGCCCGCAGCTTGAGACCCGCCAGTCAAAAGTTGGAAATGTGCCTCCTAAAACTTTGTTTTTTGTCTCTTATCTCTAAGATCCCAACAAGTCCGCGATCAATGAGAGCAGGGACATCCGTCTGGTGAACGGAAAGGGGAAAAAGATGCGGAAACCCCGAACCATCTACTCCAGCCTGCAGCTGCAGGCTCTGCACCAGCGCTTTCAGCAGACCCAGTACCTGGCCCTCCCGGAGCGCGCAGACCTGGCAGCCAAACTGGGGCTCACGCAAACTCAGGTGGGTGTCCTGCTCCTGCAGGGGAACTGATCGCTGTTAAAATGCTTGATGCACTTTGGGAATCTGTGAAGGATTCAGTTGATTGAAAGTCTGTCTCATGCATATAGATTAGCTGCGCAGCCCACTGATTATCTTAACATGCATGTATATTGTTCATGACAGAAATCACAGCTGAGAAAATAAGGAAAACATTTTGTCCTTCAAGGACGAGGAATCATGGAGTAAATTTGTTAATTAATCCTTTAATGAGCTCGTCTTCATTTATTGGGTTATTTAGTAAAACTCAAACGTGTATGTATTTATATTTATTTGTTTAATTTAATTGTTTATTTATTTAACTATACTTTCCTGGATTGTATTTGGGTAATGTCGACAGTTTGCGCCCGGATTTATCTGCTGTGCACATATATTTCATAAAGCTGCAGGTACAACAGGACATCTGATCATCTTAAGGTCTCCTCGACATTTGTAGGCCTAATTTAATCTCAGCTAGAAAGAAAGAAAGAAAGAAAGAAAGAAAGAAAGAAAGAAAGAAAGAAAGAAAGAAAGAAAGAAAGAAAGAAAGAAAGAAAGAAAGAAAGAAAGAAAGAAAGAAAGAAAGAAAGAAAGAAAGAAAGAAAGAAAGAAAGAAAACGAAAGAAAGAAAGAAAGAAAGAAAGAAAGAAAGAAAGAAAGAAAGAAAGAAAGAAAGAAAGAAAGAAAGAAAGAAAGAAAGAAAGAAAGAAAGAAAGAAAGAAAGAAAGAAAGAAAGAAAGAAAGAAAGAAAGAAAGAAAGAAAGAAAGAAAGAAAGAAAGAAAGAAAGAAAGAAAGAAAGAAAGAAAGAAAGAAAACGAAAGAAAGAAAACGAAAGAAAGAAAGAAAGAAAGAAAGAAAGAAAGAAAGAAAGAAAGAAAACGAAAGAAAGAAAGAAAGAAAGAAAGAAAAAGAAAGAAAGAAAGAAAGAAAGAAAGAAAGAAAGAAAGAAAGAAAGAAAGAAAGAAAGAAAGAAAGAAAGAAAGAAAGAAAGAAAGAAAGAAAGAAAGAAAGAAAGAAAGAAAGAAAGAAAGAAAGAAAGAAAGAAAGAAAGAAAGAAAGAAAGAAAGAAAGAACAACAAATAGAGAGAGATGTTACTAATAAGTTATTAATAAAATATAAATTTTATAAAATAATTTTGCCTTACATTCTTCTAAGCTTCCCCCGCGCCCTGGGCTTGGCTTTATTTCATATTCCTAATCTAAGTTTGTATCAGTTACACCCACGCAAGGAATCTATTTTTAATAAGTTTGGTGTATCAATCAACTATTATGCAAATTTATCTCACAGGAGGTCTGGGATTTAACAAAAAAAATATTAGGAAGTCACAGATCTGATGAAAAACGGATCAAGTAGCCTATTTCCCCTCCAATGAAAGTTGTGTGTTTTCATCTTTGTTTTTCCGTGTTTTAGGTGAAAATATGGTTTCAGAATAAACGCTCCAAGTACAAAAAGATCATGAAGCATGGCGGAGGCTCAGAGGGGGAGCACATCCACAGCTCCAACTCCATCTCCCCTTGCTCTCCTTCCTTACCCCAGCTCTGGGAGGTCTCTATGGCAACCAAAGGAACCCAGATGCACCCGAACAATTATATGAATGGTTTTGGCCACTGGTACCCGAACCACCACCACCACCCTGACCAGGACGCCTTGCAGAGGCCGCATCTAATGTGAATGGACAGCCAACGGTTGATCGGCCAATATCAACTCACAGGACAGGAAATGACTGATATCTCGTGGGGATAAACTGCATGGTTCCTCGTGCACGTGCTTTTTACTAAATTCAGTTTTTGCTGCAACATTCTATGACGCTCAACTGTTTTTGAAAGTCATTGCAGCTCTTTCTGCAGGACATCAGATCACCTGATTGTGGACTTTGTGTTTGCAGCTGAAATAGACAATCTGTATAAAGGAATTTTAGAGAATGTAATGTGTGGGTTGATTCATTTCACCTAAAACTATACCTGCTGCGTAAGAGTTCATCCTTTAATAACTCATCTATTGCTCTTTTCTTGGACAATCTTAAGCTATAGATCATTTCAATGCAATAACTTCTGAATGATTTATGAGTTTTTAAGTGTTATGTGCTTGTAAGAGCATCCAAAGCCTTCTGGGTTATTCCGAATTAATTAATACTTGAATGCAAAGTCAAAACTTAGGATCAACCTTTTGAATACATATTGGATCATCCTTTTCTGCTTTGCGAAACATTAGATTGCACTTTTTAGAGGTTTTGTAGCCGTAAATTAATTAGATTATTGGCTAGATTATATTCCTGGATCTGAGAGTGTTTTTTTTTTATAATCCAGAGTTTAAGCATTTTGGCATGTTTTTGTGCAACTTTTACGCACGAATTTAAACCCTTCGTTTAGATCAAATACACGAGTCTCGCCGTTTGATCTAATTTTAGATTGGAGGAAAGCATTTTCCTCTCATTTTCAAAAAAAGCAAAGAGGCCGTTGCATCTTTGTCGGAAAAGAAGAACAAGGTGACATGCATCTGGTTCCATGCCGTGAGAGGGGAAGAGCGCACGTTTGAGCAGTGAGTTCAAACAACAAAATCACTGCTGTCATAATACAGTGACAAATGAGCGCGCCAGGCCTGCAACACACTGCGCGGACTGCAAATCCTGCTGCTTACAGTTTAATCACACTCAGATTGGAGCATTTATCTCTCTGCTGGTGCTCTTGATTAAATCGAGAGCTGATTTCTGATTAATGAAGCTGAAAAGTTCGTACAGAGCCATCCAGTAACTTTATTTAATATTTTTCATTCATCACCCTGAACATTTCGGGTCTGGCAAACATTAAGAGCAATTTGTCTGATGTCACATACAGGGATTAGAGGAATAACAAACTATGCATTCAGTTTTCCCCAAGATGTTTACCCTAATATTAGTGGGAAATCCTCTGGGGTTATCTGAATTAAAATACCGTCACCGTCAAGGCAAACTTAAAATTCAATAACTACTGTTGGTTTAACTGTTTGTAACTGTTAAACAGGGAAGCAATGTTTGAGAGTGCTTCTGATTTAAAAGCTAAGAAACATAAAGTGAAATTTTAAGCTTCTTGTTTAAAACATTAAATTGGGTCAAGAAGAGCTAATACCATACATCTCCATTGTTTAAAATAAACTAAGCTAAAAAAACAGCAAACTTTTTAAATCTAATAAAATTAGATGGTCATTGAATCTATCTCTAACAGTGTCAAGAAGCTCTGTTTAAAAGAGGTTAGACTTAAGAGCTACACTGTAAAAAATTATCTTGGGCTGTTGAATATTAGCCAGGATAAACATAAAAATATTTTCATAAGCAATATCAGTTGTTTAAATTTAGATTTTAAAATTAATCAATTTCCACCAATATCAGCAGCTTTTATTTGGTAAAACTTGGTTCTCTAACATATTAATATTTTTAACGCTATCTGTTCTCTGCAGGAAACAGTTATTTTCTTTATTTTATATATTTTGTTTGAGTTGCCTAATAAATAAATATCCTAATAAAAGTTAAAAATGTTTATTTTAAGAAAGTTTCTATGTTGGAACAAGAATACACTTCTTTTACTAGCCTTATGACAGGGCTAATGCTTAAAAAAAATCAATCAAACCCTGATCACACATTTTACGGTTGTCAGGGCAACACTTCAGATTTGACCACGTTAGCCTCTGAAGCTGGGATTGTTAACAAACTAGCTATGCTGCTAAAAAAGCTCAAACTGAATGTGAAAACAGAAACTATCACAGTTATATGTCTTATTACAATCATTCACTTTTAACTTATTTAAATAGTTTATTCAAAACATAATTCAGTAACAACAACCCCAAAAAAATGTTTATTTCTTTTTTTTTTTTTTTGTTGGACACAAAACACAACTGACAAGAAAGCGATAGATTTAACCTTAATATTACGATGAATTCTTTTCAACATATTTAGCTAGAAGTTGACACCAAAAATAAAAAAAGGATGTTAAAATTAAAATAATTCTGAAGATATTTTTCCACATTAGTATGGCTGGTTGCAATTTTATAATTACAATGGCTAATATAATATTAAAAAATAAAAAATAAAACTTTCTAGGTTTCCTTTAACTCCTTAAAGTTCAGACACTCTGTAGCAATGATCGTTTGGTTTTATCTGATTTTACAAAGGAAGAACATTTTTTAATTTTTTTAATTTGAGTTCATTCAAGAGTTTGTTACATGCAAGAGAATTCTGCTCATTAGCATTTTCTAAAATCTACTACATTTTTTAAAAAGGTGTTTCTATCGTGTTTATTTATCAACTTTGACTTTAGAACTGAAGCTTAAACATATATGATATCATATATGAAAATACTATTTGATCTGTTCCATTAAAATACTTTTTCTACCTGAATTCATAAACAGATTCAAATGTTTCCTGCAAAATGAAAGAACAAAATGCTGAAAGAGAGATGATTGACAGATCATTAAGGTGAATTCTGATCAAAAATATTCAGGATAGTCTTTTTTAGACCCATTACTGAATATTAAATCAATAACGTAACACATCTTTTAGATTTTTAATGGAGGGTGCTTAAAGGCCAATAAAAAGCTTTTTTTATAGTGTAATTTTACAGCCACATCATTTAAGACGCTCTCGTTTAGCAAACCCTCATTCTTGTTGCTTCGTGGAGGAAGAAAACTGCTATTTAAATTTTGCATTTTATGTCTACAGGTTCTAGCTGTTAGTTTTAAGAGAAACACAAGGTTTGAGCAGAACATCATCTCCTTCAGCTCTTACCTGGCCTGAGGCGCGCAGGAGCTCCTCAGCCGTCTGTTTCTGGGAAGAACAAAACGCGCAGCAGAGGCGCGCAGTTTTTCAACCCCTCCGAGCTGATTTTTCCTCTCATAACGAGCCGTTTTGTGACATATTAACATCTCCTTCTTTGTACACCCTTTTCACCTCCTCACTCCTGATCATTATGCTGCCTTGTTAATAAACATGCGGGAATAAGAGGCGAGCGCTGCTGTATGCTGAACCCAGCTGACGGAGGGGGGCATCGGGGAAAATTATAGGTAATTTCACATCTCTAGATCAGAATAATGGCTCTGTGGAGTTGGACAGAGAAGAGTGGGAGCTTTCAAATGGAGGGGGGCCAATTATCACGTAAGCCAAAGTGAAAAGGCCTTCCCTGTGTATTAGACAAGCTGAGAGGAGCGGATGGAAGGCTGGGATGACGGCTTGAAGGTTCCTGATAAAGGCAGCTCTGGCTGTATCAATGATGTGGATGCTTCTGCTTATCAGATATGAGCAGGCTGATGGGTTTTAATTGCAGGAAAGCAATAAGAGGGAAAATAGCTTGTTATTAAATCTCCGTTCCTGTGAATGGGTGAATGGCAAAGCAGGTCTCCGGGGCGATTATTGTTATTAACTTGAAGGATCTGACATGCAGGGTAATTGCAAATTCACTCTCTTCCCCCCTGGAAGAGAGTGAATGCATGGTTTCATAAAATAGACCTTGGCTTACAGTTTCAGGGCATGTTGCACAAAAACATTTGGAGATGTGTGGAATAAAGGCCTTTAAATAAGGATGGCCTATAAGGGAAGGCATCGGAAATACAGTGACGCATGCTTTGCCTGCTCTTCTCCAGCCTGGACTTGTCCTATCTTGGCCTAAAACAAAGGTCAGGCAAAGTTCATGGCTCCGCAGCTGTCCGTGATGCCTTCCTCCCTTCATTTCACCCAGGTTTACAGCGAAATGACCAGCCTGAGTGATCCTAATGCAGCCGGGGACAGCGGGACAGCTGCTGGGAGTCTTTCCGTGGCTGCAGAGCCCGACCTCTGCCTCAACCCGCCTGCATGCACTCAGGAGACAAGCTCTAACACTTGGGGTGTTGAGATGTGCTCCCTGCAAAACATTACATGTTCACGCACATTTCTATTTAATGACTCGCCTATTTAAGATCAATACCGCCTTCTATTAAGTAGAGGAGTTTTAGCTCAATGGAGCTGTCCACATTTTGGCTAAATTGTTGAAACCCAGGCCTTGTCAGCTAAAGGCATCTTAAAGTAAACACCTATCTCACTTTCAACCACACCTCTTTATGTAGAACAGATTTAAAGTTTCACTTTTCAACCACATTTTGCCTTCTACATCAGGTGTCACTTTCCATAACGTTATAGCAACCATATATCTCTTTATAGACATGCTTTTTCACATTTCACACCATTTTATGGAAACCTCAGTGTCATGTTCCACTTTTTAAACACATTTAAAGATTCATACATGCATTTAGTCTTCATTATTAGACTTATATTCATGTGTCTCTTTTCACCTTTCAGGTTTAAAGCATGTCATTTTTCCCTTCTACTTCTTAACATTATTTTTGGCATTATTGTCTTATTATCTTACTATTATCTTATTATTTGTCTTATTATCTTTATATTTTTAATCAAATGTGCAGTAAAAAAAATAATGCAACCTTTTTTGGCATCCACTTAATCATATTTAGTTAACTTAACACTGTTGTTGTATGTCCCACCCTGCTAACATGAAAACAATTGTGTTTAAGTAAAAAAATATATTAAGTCAAATGCCAAACATGGTTGCATTGCTTTAAATATAAGTAAATATTTTGCTTTTTCCTGACAAATGTACAAATAATTCTCACGGTATGCTCAAGTTCAACAGTTCTCCAGCCACCTTCCCACACCCTCCATTGCTCTAACACTTGACATATTCAGAGATGACATATATGGACATGCCTGAAAGCCCCCGGCCCACTTGCTGGTGAATGCATGTTTGTCCTCAGCACAAATGTTTCCCCTGACAGTACACAGCCACAGTCCGGAGAGCCCACACACACTGAGGGAGCCACCAGGGGGGGGATCACATACTTTGTGATGAGATTTCATTGATATCAAAAGGCAATAGTCATCATGCCGCTTTTGTCAAATCAGCACTGGGTGCATTTCCATGCTGACTGATGCCATAGACAACTGGTGTTGAGTTTAGGGGACATAAAACACGAAGGGCACGCAAGGGAGATGGGATTAAGGGCTGGGAAACGTTAAGCTGCTTGTAGCTGAATCTGTAAACATGTGCTGGGGAGGTGGTGCCCAGAAAATTATAAGCTAGAAGGAAAAAAAAAATCTCTTTTATAAATGTCGTAAAAAAAGGATGCTTTAAATATTTTTTTTTTATTTGCAAACAAAGATAAAATATTGTCTTTAATGAACACACACATATTGAATATTATAGAGGCAGATTTACTATGATTTTATAGGTTTATAGTGTGCTATAGTGAAAATAAATCTTAATTAAGGTCAAACATAATTAATTCATTCTCCACTTTTGTATTTAATTTAAACCTTAAATGGGTGTCAGTCATCATTGTTGTTCCTGTCTGAATGATCCTTTCTTAGCCTCTCATGAACCCGTTTAAACCTCCATGGCTGTTATTGCTTTTGATGTTTGACTTGACAAACAGGAATAAACTGATATTTCAAATATAATATTGTAATTTTATGCCTTGACAGTAATGACAGTAATAACAATTATGAGTGACTTGATCTTTTGGCTTTGCCTATAGGGCAGCCACGTCGGGGGAAGCTCACATTGTTTGGTGTTTTTATGTTTCTGAAGAAATCTGTTCATAAGAGGAGGTCAAAGTAAATATTAATACAGGAAATTATTCCAAATACGTGAAGAAAATACCTTTGTCTGGCTGAACAATATGAAAAAAATGCGGAAAAGTGAAATACCAAAAGGTTTAGATAAGGAAAACTGAAAGACTAAGGGATCTACGTATTTAAAAAAAGAGAAAAAAAAATAAATTAAAGTGAGAGATGTTTGCTGGAATATTTTAAATTGTCTGAAAACTCAAATGTAACAAAAGAAAAAGTTTGCATGAAGACGTCCGCATTTGTATTAAAGCGAGAGAAAAAAGAAAGCTATAAACAAGCCCACATAATGATTTCAGTGGGTTTTAATTGTGGTCAAAATTATAAGATTATCCAAAAGTCTTAATATGTTTGGTTGGGATCTATAGAGCAAAAGGACAGATTTTGGCGTAATTGTAGGGATTGATAAAGAAAAGAAGTGCAAACATTAAACAGACACTAAAGATGGCTGTCCACCAGAGCTGCGCTCACAGAAACGCCTCCACGGCTGAGCGCGTCCCATTTAATTAAAGGCAGCAGAAACCTTCATTGGGAAAAAAGAAAAAAGGGCGCCGAGGCAGCCAACATTTTATCTCCGTGGCGCAGTGGTGGTCCATGTGGACAGACTCAAAATCAGCGCTTTCTCCATCATGCTATTATTATTTTCTGTGTGATAGATCAGACCAAGCAGCCTGAGCTCACATTTAAAATAATTATCAGATTTAGGAGAGCAGCTGTTTTATTGTCTCTGCTTCTTTATAAATATGTCACTGGGATCCCGGCGGTCAGCGGGTAACACTGGTTCCTCCTAACTAGCCTCACTCTGCTGACATGTACAACACTACAGCCACAATTAATCTGCACAGGTTTTCCTCTTCCTCTAAAACTAAATCATTGTTTAAACGATGTTTAACATCGCAGAATGAAGTATAACTCTATTCAGTGAAATGCTTTGGTGGTCTCTTTGTGCCAACATGTTCTGCAGCAGAAATGCAATTAAAACCAGTGACATGTCTGCAGCTATAGCACCGAAAATACAAAAGCCAAGCGGGAACCATTATTATTACTACTGTAGGTTGTTAAATTTGCGGACAAATTTGAAATCTGCGACTTAAGCAGCTTTTTTCTCCAATGTTTGTCACCAAAAAGTTACAAAAAAAAAAAACTGTTTCAAATGAATTTAGACTATTTGGGTAGATGTATTTTTACGTACAAGTTGGTCACTTGTTTTTCTTTTTTTGTTTTTTAAAGAAAACTTTAATTTCCTTTTGGCTTTTTTATATTTGCTCATATTCTAATCTTTATTTTCGGTCGGATTGCCTATAGTGCTCCCTTTCAAGCGAGCCTTAAACAGTGTCCTGAATTCCCCTGCAGACCCATTGGATTTTTTTCCCCAGAGAAAAGGGCTTCACACAAAACATACAATTAACACTTTTATTCATTAGACAGGAAGGCAACATTTTGAGTCATTACATGAATATAAAAACGGTCTGATAGCACCATGGTGCAGTCTTTCTGGTTCAAATATGATCATAGTGGTTCTGCATATATATATTTATATATAAACACTTATTTACAACCTTCAGATTTTTTTTTGTACAAATCCTTATAAATATGTCCTGAGTTCTTTTCTCTGTTTTTTTAGAGTTCTCCACAAACCCACATGCATAATTGGTTGCAGCACGGTTTTGTGATTTTGTGTTCAGGCTACTTATTTTTTTTTTTTTTCAAATTCTTTGCATATTAATTTACAAAAGAAGCTAAACATATGAAGAAAAAAAGATAAATAATTTAAAGAACACACCAGATGTCTGTTAAATATGCTGCCAAAAGTGATTAGAAATCCCTTATGTGCTTTTTAAAACTGGATTCCCAGCTCTGAAAACTGCGATCATCGAGAGACAGAAAGTTTCCGACCTCCTCTAGCTCCAGGGAAGTTTGCTCTGCAGAGTCACTGTCTGTGGGTAGAGCTGAGGATCTGCGCCTGAGTCCGAGTTAGTAAACAGCTCCCACGCTCTGCTGCGGCACCGGGTGGTGCACGGTGCCCGGGTGCTGTAGGTGTGACCCCTGCTGGTACCAGTGGTTGGAATAATCCTCCAGGTAGGGCGGAGACGCGCTGTGCGCCGGCTGCTGCACCTGAGGCCGGCCGATCGGCGTGTTCTGAGGGGGGTTGCTGCTGTCCCACACGGCGGGGGAGGGCGGAGAGTTACAGGCCATGGAGTCGCTGGCATTGGGACTATGCTCCAAGGGGACTTCACCGTTTTTGTACAGCTTCTTGAACTTGGATCTCCGGTTCTGGAACCAGATTTTGACCTTAGAAGGAAAAAGAAACGAGAGTGTTAATTTAAAACATTTGATTGAATATTGATATAAATCGACTGATTAAATATATAAAATAATAAATATAATAATAATAAATAATAAATTATATATAAATATAAAGAGTTATTTTTTATTTAATGTATTGTTTTTATATTCTAAACTGATAAGTTAGCTTAAAATGACTGGAGATGATGGAAGGAACCTCACCTGTGTCTGAGTGAGGCCCAGCTGGGCCGCCAGCTCCGCGCGCTCAGGAAGCGCCAGGTACTGCGCCTTCTGGAAGCGCCTCTGCAGGGCAGCCAGCTGGTAACTCGAGTATATCGTCCTCGGTTTGCGGATCTTTTTTGGCTTTCCGTTCACCATGCGGACCTCAGGCTCTGGCTCCTCTTTCACTGGAAATTCACAACAACAAAGTCCGAATAAATCCAGCTGATCGTATAAATCAACACGTCAAAAACAAAACAAGGAGAAAAAAAGAGCAATAGAAAGAGCCTATCTGCCGCAAACGATTTCAAACCCTAAACGGGATCATTGTATATAATAATACAAGTAAAAAACGACGTTTATAAGATCCAAACGTAACTAATATAAGTAGCAATAAAGGTAAGAAGTGCATAAAAAAAAAAAACATATTATAAAATCAACAGAAAAAAAGAGTTAAAACAAAAACTGTGAATAAAATACATGTTAAAACTGCAAAAAAATTAAAGGCTTATGAAACATTAATTTCGCCCTCTTTGAGTATGGACTTTGAGGTCGCAAAGAGAAGCCTTTTAAAAAATTAAAAGTTATCCTTTATATACTTAATACATCAATTCCAATTGTAATTTTACAACATATATTTCCCAATTTATGATATTTATTTATTTGTATATTTTATGTTCTACGATTCTGAGAGGAAATTTCTTAATTTCCTCAGACATTTAGTGAGAAATATTTAAATAAAATAAAAAATCCGTCTTGAGATGATGGGAATGTTCCTGGATCAGGACATGGTTTACCTGAACCCGGAGGGGAGGCCTGCAGGTGATCTCTGTTGTAATGTCCGTACTGTCTGTAGCTGTTCGTGTAGGGATACTCTGATTTGGTTGGATAGGCTCCAGCAGCTCCCATCCCATTCAAATTAAACTGATGGTGGTAAGAGTTGATCGGCTGTCCGTACGCCTGGCTCTGGTAATACTCATGGTGGCCGTGGGACGTCTGTCCGCTGTAGTAGCCCATGTCCGTCACCGAGGACTCGGGGAGAGTCGGAGAGTCCTTGGAGCTCGGATGGCAGCTCATAGATCCGGGTAGATCTGTTAGAATACTCGCGATCTTCTTCTCGTAGTTCTGTCCGGCGCTCATGGTGAAAGAAGCGCTCCGGGAATAAAAGAACAAATAAAAAAGAGAGAAATCCTCCTTCCTGTTGGTTTGCTTTAAGGAGAGGCAGAGAAAAACAATGCTGGCGCTTCAAGGATGCTGAGGTTATAGTCCTCTGAAACTCCTCCAGCTGCAGAAACTTTCTTAATGCATGGCTCAGCTGCTGTGACACAGAGTTATACGGAGCTGAGCTGCAGCCCGCCCTCCTATTGGCTGGAACCCCCCCGCGCGCTCACTGAGGCGCCCTGATGAAATCCAGCCTTCTGCAAGGACGCTCTCACACCAAAATACCTTTTATTATTATTTTATTGCAATATTTACCTGTAAACCATTCAGCTCCACACACTTTAAAAATGAGCTGATTTTGAAGCTGAGTGCCGCTCATTGCCACACAGGGCAGCCGGCATGTTTTTCTAAAGCCTAATCCTGCAGCCAGACTGTCTCCCTAATGTTTTATGCAATGTTTTCTTAACAGCATCGAGATCACACTTTATTGAGCCTACTGATGTGCTGCCAGCCGCCCCCCCACAGACTGCTATTGTTATTTAAAGCTGCTGGCGGACCGAGAATTTTATGTAAAATGCGATGAAAGAGATAGGAGGAGAAGAAGAGGGGTTTAAAAACAAACTAGTTGAACTGATAGAGCCTGAGGGTGAATTCCGATGCTCTATCCATCTTAGATGGCTATAAGCAACCAGCTCTGCTAGAAGTTTACGGGAGAGGAAGACAGGAACAGCTATAGATGGAAAGGAGACACACCCTCTAGTTTAAATTATTACATTTACTCATCTAGCTTTATTAAAGCGGATTTTCTTATCCTTTTTTCAGACATAAACGCTTATCCATGTCAGCAGCATGGTCCACAGCGCCACCCTGTGTTTGAAAAGCTTCATGAATTAATTCAGTTTTACGCGATGCCAGTTTGAAGCAAATGTAGACCCTGGGTTGCGTTTTCTTTCCTTTATGTCGGGTTAAAATACATTAATATGACTTATATTCCACTGCAACAATTAGTAGAAGTGCTTTTCTGGTTTTTCATTAGGATATCTGGGTTATTAGGATATCTGCAGGCAGTCATTTCTGATTCAACATCGCCCTCTTCTGGTCAGAATTTATATCGCATTAAACACATCCTACATCGTGGTGTTGGGTTGTGTTGGCAGCATGTTGCTACAGGGATATTCTTTCTTTTCCTGGAACAGGTAAACAGGTCTTTGTTGAAAGGAAGATGCACAGAGCAAAATGCAGAAAGGAAAACCCGTAGAAGGCTTGAGATTGAGGCAGTTTCATCTTCCTACTGCACAGGCACTTCGTAAACAAGCAAAACATCCACCCAGCCATTTTCTTCCACACTTATCCCACGCATGCACAAGGAGAACATGCTTGCAGAAAGACCCAGAACCTCCTTGCTGCAAGGCTGCAGTGCTACCCAATGCACCGCCTCTACTAGCAAAACTATACACATCCAAATTATGTTCATGGATTAAACTCCAGACCCTGATGTAGTTAAATATAAGCCATAAAGTGCTTTTCAATGACAAGCCAGCCAATCTCAGTTTGACTGCACTTTGTTGGATACAACTCAATGAATTCAAAGTCTAGATGTAATAATGTGATAAAGAGAAACCCAAAAACGTGTGGCTGTAACTGCAAGGAAAACTTGAAAATGTTGACCTATGGTGGAGGATGAAATCATTTTACATGTCACACTTAGAGAAATCTTTGAGTCTTTGTTGCCATTATGTAACCATAATGGGAAAAAATGTATTAATACCATAAAAAAAGAAGACAAAAACATTAAGAGTTACAGCCCCATTCCTATGGATGTTCAACCACTTTTCTCTGCAGAACAGGGGCAGAGCTAGTTGCTCCTACACTGGCTTATTTCTAGGGAAAGACATACTTTAAAAATTCTGGACAACTGTTCAATATTGCATTTACAAGTGAGTGCTTCAGTTTTTACTGCAGGGTTCGGTCTGACATCTCAATTTTCAGGTAGAAAGAAATACTTTTCCAGCATTAGTAAATCAGAACAAAACTCAACAGCAGAACATGACCTTAAGCCTTCCTCACTCCAATCAAATTACTTTTAGTTCTGCATCAATATCCTCATGGATGGTTGAGTATCAGGTCATCCAAGGGCTCATTCACTTTCTGTTCTGTCACATACTTAATAGGAGGCCTAAGTTTGGAGGAGGCTGAATCGAGGAGATAGAATAATGCGTGGAATCATTAGTCCTTTTAAAACTCAAGTCCTGTTGGTGCTGTGTATTAAAGTCATGGTTCCTCTTTTAGAACTGCTCTATCTTCTAGAAAATGGTAGACGTCACCAATATGCAGAGGGTCTGTCTTTTATAGGCTATTCTGTAAACTTTCTCATAACAATGTAAAGCAAATGAACGTCTACTTTCTCTACATGTTCATCCAGGAGGAGCGTTTCTGAAAAGTCAGCGACTCAGTGAATCAGTTGGGTTTCCTTAGACAGTAAACTATCTGTGTGTTTGAATTGATTCTTTAAGGTGATGTGATGATAGTTGGCATTGTATAAATTATGTGAACTGAAATAAAACTGGAACTGTAGGTTTAAATCAACAAATTAACCCCAAAAGAAAAACAATAATTCAGCAACATCCTGTCATATTCATTTACACCATAATTCATTTGCATGCCTGATTAATTTATCTTAACTACAGATGAAATCTACTCCTCACTTAACTTAACCTCACATTGGATAAAAACATGACCATCAAATTAACACATTATATAAATCTAACTTCTCCTTCCAAAAAGTCTTTTTGATTTCAGATTAATATAATAAATATGAGCAGATTCTGTTAGACTGATAATCTATAATCTCCCACTCCAGTAAGACAAACGTGTTTTGAAAGACTTTTGTTTATAAAAGATGATTTCAAGAACTCTTACCAAGTGCAATCGTCATACTGCGCAGGAAAATTATTGCATCTATTTTTAATTAGAATCTTCTCAAAAGATTATCAATCAAACCTAATGTGTTGTTGTTTAGCCTATTAATCTCAAAACAAGTTTAAAAAGACTTTTTGGATACATGTAAACTTGTAAGACTTGCCTAGATGGACTCTTTTTGCAGCACAGAACCTGCTCTATCCATTTTCTAATTATGATTTACCTTAACGTCTTTGTTAAAATGAGGGAAGACTTGCATGATGATGTATGTTTGTTTTATGTTTCAGAATTATAGCAGTCTGCCCGAGGGTCAAAGTGCTCCTCTGTAGGCCTGGTAGAGGGGCTTCATGTGCTTGTGAAGATCCTCAGTCATCCAGGTCATAGTCATTCCAAAAAAAAAAAAAATAAATTCAAACTTGGAAAACAAAGTTCAGGGGTTTGTTTTTTAACATTTTCTTTAACTTTTTTGGAGGTGCTTCATATGTTTCTCTATAAAACGATCTGTTGCATGAGCAGGGTAACTTCTTAGTAATGTTTTACAGATACCTGTGGCACTAAAAATATTCTCAAAAACAGACACTACTCTAGGATTATTTTAATTTAATCCCGCCAAGGAGTTGTACTTTCTGGAAGTGTTTCCACCAATGGCCTCACATGCAGAGGTGAACAAGATAGTCAGAGTGAAGGAGCACCATGTCGTTACCAGGATCAGAACCACCATACTGCTGCAGGATGATCCTGTGCAGACATTTAAACACGAAAACTGAAGGGGATCTAAAAGCTTTCAGGATATTTTTATTTGCAGAAAAAGCCTTGTTTAGTAGATAATATATGTAGACGGCACAATCTGAGCACTTAAATATAGGGTAGCTTAGATATTGAAGTTTACTAAAATAAAATAAACTTGTTTATTTTGCCTAAACACTGGTTTTGTATGATTTTTTTCAAGCTGAAAAATCTCTTTGATTTGATTAGTTTTCATTGTAGCTTGAGATAAAAGATTGAGAAAGTTGGCTCTTCTGCAGGGGTATCTCATTTGGCTCTTCTCTCCATTGCCTCCAGCTTGTATAAACTTCTTTACCAAAGTACTAACTTAGTCATCAAGCACACGAGACAGGAGACATTTTTCTCCTTTGAACTGGTAGCCTGCCGTGCCATGACCCAAACGCACAAGTTCAGACAGGCTTTGCCTTCATCTCTTTATAACAGAGTAAAACCTTACACTTAACAAAATAGAGACACCCAACATGCAACAGTGGTAAAAATCCTACCTGAAAAAGAAAAACCTAATTTTGACCCATACCCCTACCTATTTTTTTTACTAAAAAGTATTAAATTCAGTAACAATGCTGATGTTGATGTTGTTTGATTAATACAAACACCTCATTAACCTAAAACTCCATATTATAGCATGGTCTCCACAGTATTTAACTCCACATAATACCTCCTGTTTCTTGATTTCTTTATCTAATCAAAGTCTGATCTGATTTCTCAGTTTACAGTCAGATTAGTTTCTAAAATAATATTTGATAAATTAAACTTTATGAGATGGATTGGTACAAGTTGTCATGATTTTATTTTAAGATCTGACCCACATGCAGAAAACCAAACAGAGAGACCAGGGGAAGGTTTAACAGGTTTATTGACTTGTAGAGATGGGTCCAGTGCTGCTCTAAACGCTGGCGAACCGGGACTGAAAAGTGAAGGGGAAGTTCCTGTGGTTAGTTTAGGCTCAGTGGGAAATTTGAGCTTTGATTTGCAAAAGGGAATAAAGTCAACATGACTCATGTTTCCAGTAAAGGTGTCTTTCTCTGAATCCAGTCGGTGTGGGTTGTTCTGGTAATTGACATGCTCGTTGGATGGCGGACAGGGTTTAACCAGGTTTAGGTGTTTCCTTGAGGAACGGAGGAGCTGACTGCCACTTAGATTTCCAATTGTACTTGAACTGATTCTTGTGGAGATAAATCCCCTTCTCAGTGTGAAGCTCAAACTATCCTTTGGGGAAAAGTAGATCCAAACCTCCTGTTTGAATCCCCAGCTCAGTTGGAAGCTCAGACAATCCTTCCAGGGGGAGAAGGTCCAAAACATCCAGTTTGCAGGATGACTTCCTGCTGGGAGGCAAAGACAAAAAAACAACAAGGTTAAGACTCAGGTTGACAAAAACTCAGTTTGACTCAACAAAACTCAGCTTGGCTAGAGTACCCAAACCTGGCAAACACTCTGTCGTCTAG